AGCAAAAATGCCTTGTATTTATTCACTTCAGTGTAAATATGACTTAACTCTTTTCCTATATAGTTAACAGTTTTGTGATCTTGCAAGTCCTTCATTTTACTGTATTTTGCTAAATATGTTCATTTATTAGTAACAAGCTTTGTTCAGTGAGAGTTCTTTAAGATTCTCTTCAAAATTCTTGTAAAGCAGATTTATTTTCATTCTAAAATAAGCCCCCCTTATGCCTTATTCTTTTATTATAAATTCATGCATAAAGTCATTTTTATGAGTTTAAATTTATCTACTCACTTATAAAGCAGTGTTTGTTGAGTCTGGTAAAGCGATGGGGTGGACTGGGCTGTCTTCTTCTCCACTCCACCTTAAGACAAATGATTTGACTTGAGCTTTTAATTTGCAAGGTTCCCTCCTAAGGACAGCAAATGTAATATAAGTGAAGCATTAGAATGAGCATTTAGAGTTCCAAGAGTGTCACAGTCTACTAATTTGTTATTTAAAAGCTGTTGAGATGATTGCTTCCAGCCATAGTAGTAGACATGTAGCTTTTGAGTGTGGTGGCACACCTGGCCTGATCTTGTGCTGTGTGGGGCACAGGACATGCTTAAGGCAGTACTATCCTCACACTGATTTGTCAGTGTGGTTTTGCTGCACAGAACCAACACAAGTGAGACATAGCCAGCCATCTCCTAAAACAGGTCCTTTTGACCCTAACATAGAGGTAGCAAAGTGAGACAGAAGATGGAATAAGAGAAGTATAGAACACCTATAAACTATGAGCCGCTAAGCCCTTTAACATGTATGTTGTTTAATTTTCTCAACATCCATGAAATGGATAGTAACGATTTATAGATGAAGAAGTGGAACCTCATAGAGATAGATAAAACAGTGTATTCATTGTTAGATATTGAGTAAGTGGTAGATTTGTGGAATGAATTCAAATATGACAGCTAAACCAACACCCTTAATTCCTCTTGCTTTTCCTCCCATAACCCAGTGTTATTTGGTACCCTTCGTATTAATATATATTAATGTAATTATTTAATATATATTAATGTAATTATTTAGAATTAATTGTTGATTTTCCTTCCTACTGGACCATAAGTCCTAAGAGGAGAAAGCATTATTGTTTTGTTCAGCATTATATCTCTAAGACCAAACACTTTGCTTGCCTTAAATCTGGTGCTCAGTTAATATTTTTGTTTCCGTTTGTAGTGCGGGTGGATTGGGGCAGATAGGAAAGGGACCATGGTTTCTGCCACTTTGTGTTGATTGACTTAGGTAAGAAGAGTCCACAGAAAGTCTAGGCCAGTGTGAACCTGAACAATCAGAAGGTCTTATGGGTGAGTTAAACTTCTTAGCAGGAAATAAAATAATTTTTAACTGTAACCTACATCTAAGGCCATGCATGGCCTTAAGTACCTTCATTCTCAAAAATAAATTATTATAGAGGTTGGCACAGTGCCACATACTAGTAGTTCCAGCTACTTGGGAGACTGAGGCAGAAGTTGGAGGCTGCAGTGTGCTATAGTCACGCCTGTGAACAGCCACTGCAGCACTCCAGTCTGGGCAATATAGCAAGACTCTGTCTCTTCAAAAACAAAAAAGGTACCGTGGTTGAGAAATCACAGTAAGGATGGGAAAATGCTGACATCTCAATAATACAGATCAAGTTACTCTATTTAATGTTTTAAAAATTCTTTTAATAGAAAAAATCAGACAAAGATATGCAGATCTGCCTGGAGAACTGCACATTATTGAACTTGAAAAAGATAAGAATGGACTTGGACTCAGCCTTGCTGGTAATAAAGACCGATCACGCATGAGCATATTTGTGGTGGGAATTAACCCGGAAGGACCTGCTGCCACAGATGGACGAATGCGTATTGGAGATGAACTCTTAGAGGTGAGAAGCATATGTTTTTAACTTGTCTTTTGGTGAAGTGGATGGGTGCAGTGGATGTTCTACAGGAAAATGAGGTGAAAGAAAAGAATGATGTCAAATTATATTTCCTTCAACTACTTAAAATCATTTTTCAAAGCAAGAACAGAAATGTTGCTTGCAAATGTTATTTGCTGCTTATGTGAAAACTAATCTCACAGAATATTTTAGAAGTTCTTCAGTAAAATATCATTGAAACATATTAAAACCTTTGTTTTTAATATCAATTTTTAAATATTCAAAATTAATTTGTTTGTATATTAACCTAATTTTGGTAGTATTTATCAAAATTCTCTTTGGGTTTTGAATTAATCATATGTGTAACTGTTATTGTTCTTCAGTTTTTGGGGGCAGGGAAGTGGGGAAGATGTTACAGCCAACAAGAGCCTGTGAACGTCTCAAAAATAATAGTTAATGTCTGTGAAGTTCAGGATATGGGTTAAGGTTACATAGGTTCTTTCTTTAGGAATAGAATAGACAAAAGAGAAGCTAAGAAGATGACTGATCCTCTTTAAATTACTCTAGATAATTTCATTAATAATCTGAAAAGGTTATTATTCTTCTACACTTAAATTCAAGGTATCTGTTCTGAGCTTATCTTAGTTTGATACTCATTTGGTTGTTCATTCACTCATTCTTTCAGCTAACACTTCTGAGTGTCTATTAGGACCAGAAACAGAAAAAGAGATGAAGACATCCAGTTCCTTCATTAGTATAGCTCACAGTTTAGAAGAAGAAAACAGGCATGAAAAGATATTTATATTACAAAATGAGAAATGCAATAATGATGATGATATGATGATGATGATGATGATGACAATAACTGCTAAAATATACCTGGTACCAAACAGAACAACCTCTTTTACTGGTGAGATCAGAAAGTAAATGATGGTGTTAGGATTCAATGGCAGGCAGTTTGACTTGTAGCTCTCTATAAACCATTGTGCTTTAAGGCCTATTTGATAAAATGTTCCAACTTTAGGACATTTAGGCGAGCTAAATCACGGAGACGCTGAGTGTTACACTGCTTACTTGAAATGAAGGCTTACTGATTTTGCATTTTATGATTTCCTCCTCAGACTTGACTCAGAATAGAATTTACAGTCATCCATAATTTTACTTGCCTAATAATAACTACTGCCACAGCTGGCCAGGTGCAACAGGAAGACCATCACCATCAACTCTTTCTTCCAATCGCTGGTTGCTTCTTCCCACTTAAAACCTATTTCTGCAAAGAAGTCACTTCCAGGAATACTTTTCTTTTCTTGTTCTTTTATGATATAGCATCCTGAATGGGACCCACATTGGGTCATAACCCTGACGAGCATAATCATTACATAAATAAAGTCAAAGATGACCTTATGTAACTAATATTATTCATTACCTCAGTTTGTTTCCTTTGGCTTATGTTTAGAGACTTCCTCAGAGATGACACAAAAGCGATGGCGGTAGTAAAAATGATGAAAGTTAGAGCCAGTGTACTCAGTTATTACTAGCACTGCGCATATGCATTGTACATATTTGTATTCAGTATTCTTAAGAACGCTTTATGATAACAACTATTATTATCTCCATTTTATGGATGAGAAACTGGGTAAATAACATACCTAATATTGCAGAACTAAGTGACTAAGTGTGGTTAAGAACCCAGGCTTGCCAGACTCCAAGA